ATTAACCATTTTCTGTAAGCTAATCCCTGCGTATATGTTCATCCTTTAAACCCCATGAGTGAGGCGCAGTGCTAGGATCACCCCATTTCACAGGTGAGGAACATGGAGATCAGGAGAGTGAGCAGATCATCACAGACAGTAAGTGGAAGAGCCTGGCCGAAGTCCAGTTCTGTTCCCCCCCAGGGCCTGTGTTCTCAACCACTTTCCTCCACTACATTCCTGTTGGTAGATTTTTAATCAACATAAGGGAAAATGTACAAGTAATGAGAACCTCCCAAGAAGAGAACGGATACTCTCTCTGGGAGTGAATTGCCCATCACTGACAAATTCTGACCAACAGGGATGCGGGCTTGGATCCAGGCCTGTTGACCTCACAGGTCTCTTTCTGCCCTAAATTCTATTTTTTTTCCCCTGATTATTCTAATAACAACAATTTTACCTATAGATTAGTAGTCTGGGAAGGGGGGTGTTGGTGGTGGGTCTGGTGGTTCTTTATCACTTTGTCAACCTGAATTCCAACATGACGATAAACCAAAATCCAGTTTCTCCAAGAAATTATTTATATTTCAGTCATTTTTGGTAAGTTTATGGACATAAGAATCTGCAAAAAAGTTTATTGCTATGCCTTGAAAGCATAACAGTTTCATTAGTAAGTGGAAATTATAACTATGCATATTTTAGAATAAAAGCAAGAAAACAGGAAATTCGAAGGGGGTACAAAACCTTAGTAGTCATTATTAACATTATGTGAACTACTTTGGTATCCTACTCTTGATAATTATAGGAAAGTTGAGAAAATTGACCTAGACAGTTTTTGGAAGCAGTATCAGGACTATACTAGATTAAAGGATAAAGACGAAGGAGGGAAATCTTTCCTATTCTCCTGAGCACTCACGTTCGTTCCTCTTCTCTCCCTTAATTTCTACCACCCGCACAACCACAATTCTTAAGAAAACCAAGTGATGGAGACATAAATGTTCTTGGAATGTATTTCTAGATCTGGAAGTTTGGACCTGAGGCCTTGATTTGTTGATTTATTAATTTGTTGATGAATGAGGTCACATGGAAAAACTTTCTGCTTCTTGGTTATGTTGGTGGAAACTTTTCTAAGCTCTAACTGGCTGGCTTTTTGGCTAGCTGGAGGTTATTTATTTTAATAACAACACAGTAAGTTTCTGAACTCAGACATAGCAGAGCAGTCTGCAGAGACCTCCAGTCCAAAGAGGGCAACTGTACCCAAGCACAGGCTTTCATCAGTTTTTCCGAAAAGGTGCTTTGTCTGTTAAGGTTAAGTTAGCCTTAGCTTGCCGCTGTCCCTGTGAGCCTTCCACATCTGTGTCTTGTTGGCATGCCAGTTCATGTTCCTATCTGTTTTATCTGTATTAAATTTAGTTCTCAGTCCTTAGGGTATTACATAATAAGAAGTTAAAAACTCAAAAATCAAAGGAGTTCTATGTGTGATGCATGTGAACTAGCTGGAACTGACTTCCTGCGGGGAAAATGAATAGCTAGGTGGACCAAATAATGGGTGTTCATTAATGACAGCGGGGCACCTCCCTCCTTCCTAAGCAGTCATTAAGATCCTCCCCTGTGCCACTCACTGTGCTGGCACTGGGGATACCAAGATGTGGTCCTTGTTCCTTCAAGGAGCTCCTGTATAAACATCCTAGTGTGAGATACATGCTTTGGGGAGCTTGAGCCCAACAGGGTTCAGCAGCTCAGACTGCTGAAGAGAAGGGAAGGCTTCTCTGAACCAGGGCTTGAAAGATGCCGAGAGTGTTCACAGCAGATGCAAAGGCAGGAAGATGTCTGCAACTGGTTCTGCAGGCCTATATAAGTCAGGACTCTGGAGAGATGACAGCAGAAAGATACATACTCATGCTAAGAAGTTTGGACTTTATCCTGAAGGCAATAGGAAGCCTTTGCGTGGTTTTAACAGGAAAATGATAGGATGTAATTTGTGTTTTAAAAAATATCACTTTGCTAGTAATGCAGAGAATGGGTTGGCAATAGGTGAGCTAGGAAGCAGAGAGACATATCATGCAGATAATGTGAGAAAATGAGAACTAAGGCAGTGCCATGGAGTCGAAGAGAAAAATGCATACCAGAGACATATTAGTGAAGTGGGCTGCAGGAACCTGGTCATGAGTGATGGATATTATGGAACCGTGGAAGAAGGAGTAGAGAATGTCACCCAGGTTTCTGGACTGAGTGAATATGGTGTCCCCTCATCAAGATGGGGCTTGGGAGAAGGATGGTCACATTGCTTGGAGAATTACAGAGAAGGTGATGAATTCATTTAGGGGCATGATGAATTTGAGAAGCTTGAGGGGCGTTCAACAGGGATGTTTGAGAGGATTGGCCAGATGGGCCTGAAACTCAGGCAGGAGGTGCTGAGGTACAATTGCTGGCTTGTCCCTCGATATTAGGAAGATAGTCGGCATCTGTAGAAGGAATGGAGATTCTGCAGGCCTGATGGTGTTAGTTTTCTTGGGAGCCACATTACACAAGCATAACAGCCTCTATTTCAGGATCACTTAGATTTGGAAGACATGTGAGTGTATGAAGTGACTTCCAGCAGAGGTGAGCAGAGAAACTGTGGTCCCATGTTACACTTCCCTCTGTGTAACCAAGACGGAAAAAAAGAGAAAGAAAGAATTCAAGGTAACATGAATAAGGCTTGGAGAGACTGCCACCCATCAGGGGAGCAGCAGCCCCAATCCAAAATCAGCCTTTCTTTTTATTGACAAGACAGGGAAGTTTCACAAGAAAAATCAGTTGATTTAATCATCAAAGAATGACATAAAAACAGGCTGTGTTACAGAAGGGAATTATAGCTAAGTATAGCTTTAAACAACTAAAACTAGTAATAGCAGTAAAATTAACAATGTGACATTCCAGAATGTAATTTGTAAAAAGCTAAGTTGATCCACCAACAAACAGCTTGCCCTTAGTAAACATTTTCTTTTTTACATACTTCTTATAGTGATTTCTTTAGCATATTTAAACAGCATTTAAGCAGTTTCCTTAGCATATCTTAAGATCAGTAGGTTAAATAGTCAATAGTCATTCAAGCCCGAATCAAACCAGCAACCTAAAACAGTCAAAGTAGAAGATCCCATTCCTAAACAGTGATTAGAATTGATTAGATGGCTTTTGCCAAACTTATTTGTGTACTTTCATCCCCTACTCAAGAGCCTTTTGGCTCATTCATGCATTACCTAAAAGTCCTATTCTAAGATCAGAGGAGAATCAAGATTTCTAACCCACTACAGTCCCGAGGTAAACTTGGGCTGCTTCCTGGTACTGTTCTCTTCTCTGTGCCCATCTTTCTTTTGAGTGTCCCTCTCAGGCTTCTTGGGATTCTGTGGCAAGAATCTCAGTTACTAGACTATTCAGAGGCTACATTGGTAAGGAGAAGTAAAAAGGCACTTTACTAAATATTTTATCTTCTCAAAACCCCCGCAAGGTGTTACTATTAATAGTCCCATTTTACAGATAATATAGCTGAGCTTCTAAGGGTTTACAGAGCTTAACTTGTAGTAAGTGGCAAAGTTATAAAGTTATAGACTCTAAATCTCATTCTCCTGACTTACACTAAGACGAACCAGGCCTGTTAAATCTTTGGATGAAAGTTACCAGAGTTGTTGTTGAGGAAAAAAATATTTTGTGGAAATGATGTGGCCTCCGTGGTATTTGTCAAAAGCAACATTCTCTCTGAATTGTCCCAAATGAATTCCACTGATGCATCCCCTACACCTCATTCCCCACTCCATGCCCACAGCAGTCAGACTTGGTGGTTCTGGGGGTGCCCTGCCATAGGCCCACTTAAGATGCAGCCTCTAAGTCCTTGCTTATAATTTCCCCCCTTTTCCCAGACTTTCCTTCTGCTTCCACTCCTGTCCCTGCCCCTCTCCACCACAAGCAACCAGAGTGAGGCTTGTGTTTAAAGCATAAAGAAGTTGGTGCTCTGCTCACAGGCCTCTGATGGCTTCTTATCTCACCTAGAATACAAGCCATGACCTTCAAGGCCTCCTTCCTTCTGGCCTCTGGATGCTTCTATGACCTTGTCACTGACCACACTCACTACACTTGAACCACACTGGCCTTTGGGCTGTTCCTTGAACGCTTCTGGCACCTCTGAACACTGCAGGGCTTGTAAACTTGCTGTGTCCACTTCCTGCAGTGCTTTTGCCCAGGTATCTCTGTGACTGGCTCCCTTACACCATTCAGGTCTCCGCCCCTCTGTGAGGCCTTCCTGGGCACCCTGTCAAAAACAGCAGCCCCCATCATGCTCTGGGCCTTATTCTGCCTTATCGTTCTCCACAGCACTTATTTTCTATTTGTTTATTGACATCTCCTACACGTAAGCTCCGTGAGCTCAGGGGCTTTGTTTGTGTGTTCCTGCTGCATCCCAGCTGCTGGAATAGTGCCTGGCCCTCAGTGTGCCCTTAGGCAGTGAATACACGGAAGCCATGGTCTCAGCATGGGGTACGGGAAGTGGGATCACTGTCACCAAGGGAACTATGATAGTGAAACAGAATGTCTTTGTCTCTCCCAGAGTGGTTAACATCGCTGGTTCCTAAGTCTCCTCACTTGGGGACAACTATAAACAGGTATCAGAAAACTGGTGCACATTTCCCTGAGTGAGATGCTGATTTATTGCTCTGGTAAGGACGGGAAGGATTTTTCCTTCTAACACACAGTTACCAGGACAGGTTTGCCATCAGGAGATGGTTTGTAATAGAGGGGGTTCCATTCGCACCTATGCCTGTTCTTCCAAATCTGGAAGTCACTCATGGGAGTGTTCATGGTTTTGGAGCCTGTTGAAAGTACCTCCTGTGTTGTGGCTTTTTGGCCCCATAGGAAGAAGACTTTCTCTGATTACTTGGGCTTTAATGGGTTCTGTCTTCAGAGTGTCCTTAAACAGAGGTTTCTTGGTTGGGGAGATTTGATCCTAATGCCATTTTCAGTGCATTTTTCTGTTGCTCTTCCTCTAGGATCTTCTACGTCTCTCATGATTCCCAAGACTTGAAGATTTTCAGCTATATCGCTCGAGATGGTGCCAGCAATGTCTTCAGGTGTAATGTCTTTAAATCCAAGAAGAAGGTAAAGGGGCAGTCATTGCTCATTTGTGATTTTCCTCTGATGGACCCAGGGCACCTCCAACATTGGCCCATCTCCCTGTTGATGATTTGGAGATGGCTGCTTTAATGCCAGATGTGGGCGAGCTATCTCAGTAGTCTGTCGGTACTCCTATATAATGAAATTCTCTTTTAGTTTCATCTGAACTTTGTACTAGTTACATATGGACAATTGGAGAAGGATTGGCCTTTGATAAGTATTCTGGAATGGGAGCAGGTAGACAGCACCATGATGCTCACCTTAGCATGCAGTAGAAGAGAAGCACTGCCATTTACTAAGGTGATCTTTCATCCTAATTCTGTATATTGATCAGTGGACTATAAAGCATGACACATGGAATCCGGTTTAGACTTACTGTAGGATATTGATTCTCCTGGGTGATTATTTAGGTATGGCAACTTTGATACTTGAGTACATGCAACTTTTATGGTTCCATAGTGGCATTCTTTCTCTATATCATTCCTCTAGGAGTCTAACACACAAAACTGGGGTTTTAGAAACCTGGGGGTTAGGAAACCTAGGCTGTAGTTCCACTTCTCTACTGTAACCCTGATGATGTTATGCGGGTCACTGGTCCTCTTCGAGTCTCAGCTTCTGGTCTATAAAATGAGGAGGATAGTCAAAATCTGCATTTCCTAAAATGTACTCTGTAAAACATTTACCGTCCAAAACATTCCATGTTAAAACTATTCTGTTTAACTTGCTAAGAAATCCTAAAGTTAAAAAACCCCTTTAGCTTTGTTTAATGTAGCATTTCTCAAACTGATTTGGCTATGGTGCTGTACATTTTTTCTGTGTAGCATGTGTTAATATTCTGGGAACTATTTTTCTGCAGATAAGATTTCGGGAAACTTTGTATTTATACCTTACAGGTCTACCATTCTAGAGACAAACTACTAAGCCTGGCTTCCTATGAGGACTCTTAGCCCTCCTCCTGCATACTCTTCCTTTGAAGCTATGTGATATTTTATGCATCTTATGCCTTAAGGCATCTTTATTAAATTTGTAGGTATCTTGCCAAGTGTGGATAATAAGAGTAATACATGAAAGGGTCAAGATTTACTAATGTATGTGTCCCATTCTGCACCCTAGCTCCATAAAGAGAATCATGCTTTTCTAACTTAGCCTCTTTCTCTAAGGAGATTTGTGCCTTTGTGCACACTGTTTCTAGTTTTTTAAAATGCAAATCATAGAATTGGATAGAAAGTGCTAGAACAGGAAAGATAGAAGGGAAAAAGGGCAAGTTGCCAGGCTTTATTTCTAGATAACAGTACAATTGAGGAAGAAAATGTAAATGAGGCTAAGTTGAGCTGCATATTAAAGAACTGATAGAGGAGTAGGAAGAGGGAGAGAAAGAAAACCATAGGACCTGGAGAGAGAGTTTAGGGTTTTGGAGAGTGAAAGGCTTTTATGCAGCTTTGAGGTGTAGGGGATCTGGAGAAGAGAAAAAAGGAAATACAGAGTGTTTTGGAGAGTTATGAACTGGATCATCTGTAATGTTCTTTGACAGCTGCAACTAAAGACTGGAATTCCCTTTGAATTCATTTTGAGTACTTGACTGTGCTTCTGACTTTTTAGCTTTGCACATAGACTGGACCATGTGGACTTTTAAAATTTATTAGCATTACAAATAACACATTATCATTTACCAAGTGTTGTAATAGTTAATCTCATTTTATCTTTGTAACACATAAAGAATGTAAGACAGGTAATTTTCACCCGTGGTTTTACAGATGAGTAAATTGAGGCTAAGAGAGTCTAAATGACTTGCTCAAGTTCCCAGGAATAGAGACTGGCTAGAACCAGGGAGACATGCAGAACAAAAGAATTTTGAGCAAGAAACCTAGGTAAAGGAGACCATGTTATATTTGCCTTGCCACTGGATCTAGTGTAGCAGTACACACAGTGGGACATCCAGTTCTGTCAAAACCTGAGTCTGGAAACAGTGCTCACCTGGAGCTTTGATCTTGAAGGGAAGTACAGAATCAAGTTCTTACTACCCAACGAAAAGGACTAGTCATCTAATTCCCTAGCGTACCCATTTTTTTCAGTGGCTCACAGCTCTTAGAGCTAATTCTGATCTGTGGCTCTTCTGTTTTCTTTATCCCTTTCACCCTCACCTACTGAGACTGAAGCTCTTCAGAGTTGGTTCTCAGGCCCTTTGTTGGCCTGAAGCCATGCAGCTGAGGGAATTGTTTCCAGATAGTGCAGGCTGTGAGCCCCGTTGCTGCTGAACTATATAGGTGGAGGGCCCATTTCCGAGCCAGGAAAGAGAAGTGAATTGTTCCACAAAGGAAGCAGAATTAAGCAGGGGTGGGGAACCCATCTGTGGGGTTTTGCACACCATCCTACTTAGCCTCCAAACACGGCAGTTTACTTTTTTATAAAGCACTTCTGGTTTTGAGAAATAATAGTTAGCTTGGGAAGGAGTTTTAATCGGCAAATCATAGTAATACTTAAGAGGTGAGGGGGAAAGGACTACAGACCCGGAGGAAATGTGTCTTGCAGGGATGTTTCTGGATTGCTGAGGGTCAATAGGGAGATTTCCTGAGTGGAAACCAGCAGATCTGGATGTTCTCTGGAGCCCTCGTATTGGTCATAGTGTGGAGAAACCTCGTATGAGCTCCTTGCCATATCAGAACTTTGGTTGTTGCTGTTTCCCATCACATCATGTCCCCTGTGTGCATACCCATGGCATGTCTCTCATGACAGGTCTCTAACACGGTGTCATCCTTACCCTGCAGTTCACTACGGGGCCTGGGTCTGTCTCTTCTGTTGGTTGAGAATGTGGATCAGATATCTCAGCTTGCCAGGTAGAGGGCTTTCCTATACCTTGCTCCCAGAACAGTTATTATTCTACCCTGTGGATCTTCCTTCAGTCACTCACACATATGAGGGTAGTTCACAAAGTTTGTGGAAATATAAAGTTGAAAGATAATGCAAATCTTTCCATGAATTTTCGAAGTACTCTCATATAGTCAATGTGGTTTCCGTCCAGGGATTTTAACCTTGGGCTGTTTTGTTTTCAGCTGGGCTTTCACCAGAAGCTAAATAGCAAAATATTGTTGGAAGACAACATGGTACCTGTTATTCTTCTACTACCCTAGATTATCTGAGTTTTATCCTTGTATGAAGTCAAATAATAATATCTTACCTGGTTTGATTACTTGCTGTGTGCCTGCGACTGTTCTAAGCACTCTCCACAAATTATCTTATTTCATTCCTACAGCAGCTCTGTGAGGTAGGTACTATTATGCTCTTCATTTTATATATGGGAAAGTGGAGCCGTAAGGTACATAACTTGTGTAAGGACTCATAATAAGCAGTGGAGTCAGAACTAAACCCAGAAAGTCTGATTCTGGAGCTCACACTCTTAACCACTTCCTTATGTTACTGTCCTTGGCTCATTAGGAAGTTACGTAAGGAGTAGACTTGTTCTCCAAGACCAATTTGTAACTGGGTTCTCTTGTACTCATTATTTGGGTATGAAGAGCTCCTTAACTCTGAATGACCCAAATCACTTTAACACAGATTTTTCTTTTTTCCTCATAGTATCTTTGTATAGTCAATGTTGACTCCATTTCATAGTTGGATAAAGAGCAAGCCCAGGGAAGTAAATGCTCTTGGTCACACAGTGAACCAGTGATGCCACTGAGATTAGAACCAGGCTTTCTGCTTCCCAGTCCAGGACTTTGGCCACTAAACCCTGTTACATGAAACTCGTATGAAAGACACATGAGCCTTTGTGGACTTGAGTTTCTCCAGCCATCAAATAAGATGAAAGGCATCTCAGGAATGCTGCTTGTGTGTGAAGTTATCTGATCTTTAAGAAACAACTTCCCTAAGACTGGGAAGGATTGCTAGGACTGTGGTAGAGGAAGCCCAGCACTCCTTAGATTAGTGCTAGAAAGGAGGGACGGGAGTGGGTCTTTGCTGAGAGTATCCAATGGAGATATCTCCCAGTAACATGGGTATTCCTTGTTTTCTCTCCTTGGGGAATATAATGATAGCATTTATTTGCACGGCCTTTTGCCTCTTGAGAAGCCTCTTGCATAGTCTCTTGACCTCTCCTGTGGAGTGGATGTCGATCTCCTGTCATTCTCTCTAAGCCCCAGGAGGATATGGCTGTCTGCCCCAATTAAGAGTGACTGTTCTTATTAGCGCGTCAGTGCGTGAAGTGTAGGTGATTAACAGGAGCCACAGGAATCTTCCTATTATCTTCACGGGCTGCTCCTTGAAATCATTTTGCCTGAAATCACAGCTCAATTGGTTTGGGTTAGGAGAAATCATTTCCTCCTGTAATACTGTCCCCAGCAAACTGGGGGCCATAGCTGTGAAGTTTGACTGTCCTTTGCAGTGGAGTTTGAATGATGATGACAGTCATGTGCTAAAGAATAAGTCACTTGCCTGGTCAAACTTAAAAGATGAAGAATAGGGAGGTCTTAAATTTAGGGAAAGAGACCATTTTTATACCTTAAATATTCAGGTGGGATTGGATTGGGAAGTCAAAATTTAGGAACTTTAGAATTCATCTAGTCCGGGCCGGCCCGGTGGCGCACTGGAGAGTGCGCCGCTTGGGAGCGCGGCGGCACTCCCGCCGAGGGTTCAGATCCCATGTAGAGACCGGTTCCCGCTCACTGGTTGAGCGCAGTGCGGG